TTCTTTTTTGGGGGGGGGGGGGTGAGCACCCATCCACCGAGAAGCGCGCAAGCTCGAGGGCAAAGGCGCACCCAGACCGGCGAGGGGCGCGAGGGGTGCAGAGGCGGCCGCCGGCGCGTCGCCAAAGGCCTCGCAGACCAAAGCGTCGTCGAGCGCGGCGGCGCTGTCGGCGGCGGCGGGCATGCTCGGCAAGCCGGCGGCCTCGGCGCCTCGCTTTCGGCGCTGCGTCCCGCGAGGGGAGGGGCCGGGAGAGGCTGCGGACGAGGCTGCCGTCTCCGTGGACTCTCCTCCACCCAAGGCCTCTCCTCCACCCAAGGCTTCCTCCGGCTGGTTGACGTGCGGCGCCGCCTCGCCGCCCGCCCGGTGCCCTCCCGCCGGCTCGCGCCCGCCGCTGGTGAGCTCCTATGGGACGTGTCGCGGACGAGTCGGGGGACGGCGTGTGCAGCCTCTCCCGCGCCGCCCGTGCGCTCCTCGTAGGCGTCCGGCGAGAGCGCCTCGAAGGCGGACGGCAGCGCCGGCGGAGAGAGGAGGTGGGAGAGCCGCTGCGTCGGGGAGAAGGCGCCGCTCGCACCCTCCGCCGCACCCTCCGCCTCGGGCGCGGGCGGACCGGGCGGAGGCGGGGCGGAGGCGGGCGCTGCGCGCGTGGCGGCAGAGCGCGCAGCCACGCGCAGCAGCAGGCCGGAGCTCGCCTCCCCTCCCTCCCCCTCCCCCTCGTCTGTCTGGAGCGCCGCCATCGCGGCGAGCGGCGCCGAGCTCGAGCGGCGGCGCGAGGCGGCGCGGCTCGGCCGCCGCTTCAGAGCAACGCCCTGCTTGGGACCGGCCTGCGCCTCGGGAGCGGGGAAGACGCCCTCGGGCGGCGGCGGCGGCGGCGGCTGCAGGGGCTGCGTCGGCGCCGCCTGTTGCGGCTGCGGAGGCTGCTGCGGCAGCGGCGGCGGCGACTGCCGAGGCGGCGACGGCAGCAGCTGCGTCGGCTCGAGAGAGGTCGGGAGAGGATGCTCTGGCGTCGACCCGGCGGAGCCAGCGCCGGAGGGGTGACAGGAGGGGCTCGGCTCGGGCCTCGGCGCGGAGGCGGTCTGCGGCAGCGGGGAGGGAGAGGAGGCTCCCGCCCCGTCCCCGCCCCCGCCCCTCGACCCGTCCCTCGACCCGTCCGGCTGTGGCGGAGCGGGGAGCGCAACGGCGCCCTCCATCGGGGGGGTGCCCGACTTCTCCAGCGAGGGGCGGCACGACTTCTCCAGCGACTTCTCCAGCGGGGGGAGGCACGACTTGCGGCGCGACGCCCTCCTCGCGAGCGGGGCGGCCACTTGCCGGCCGGGCGAGGGCGGGGGCGGGCCGGAGGGCGGGGGCGGGCCGGAGGGCGGCGAGGGCCTGGCCGGCGGGCCGGAGGGCGGGGCTGCCTCCTCCCCCGCCGCCGCATCCGGGCCGCATGGCTCCGTGTCGCGTGGCTCCGTGCCGCATGGCTCAGTGCCCGCTGCCCGTAGGCCCTCCTGCACCGGAGGGAGGCCAGAGACGCGGCGCGACTTGCGGGTCGGCTGGGCCGGCGCGCCGAGCGAGGCGCGCCGGCGGGTGCGGGGCTTCGGTGCCACCACCTCCACTGCCGGCGGCGACGGTTCTGCATCCGCTGGCGGCGGCGGCGGCGGCGGCGGCGGCGGCGCTGCCTCAGGCAGCGGCAGGGGCGGCGGCGGTGCAGCCTCAGGCAGCGGCAGGGGCGGCGGCGATTCCGCATCGTCCGGCGAGGGCGGGGGCGGGGCTGCGTCGGTCGGCAGTCGCGGTGCTGCGTCCTCCATCGGCAGCGGCGTCGCTGACTCCGGCGGCACGTTGTCCGGCGGCGGCGGCGGCGGGTCTTCGGCCGGCGGCGACCGGAGCGGCGAAAGCGGGGACTGCGGTTGCGTCGACTGCGGCTGCGGAAGCTCCTGGTCGGCGCCTCCCGGCTGCACTGCAGGTGACGCAGCGGGAGGTGGCACCTCGAGCGCCTCCGCTTCGTCGGCAGCAGGGAAGGCGGCTCGTGGCGGCGGCAGCGACGTTTCCGCACCGGCCGAGCCCGGCGGAGGGGGAGCCGCGGGATACGCGCGAGGGCGTGCGGGACTCGCGCAGTTGTTCGCCGGGGCTAGGGCGGGCGACTCCAACAGCCTGTTCGCCGGGAGGATGCTCGATTTTCGCTTGCGCTTACCCGCGTTGAAGAATGCCGACAGCGCTGCGGACGTCGCTGCCGCGGAGTTCTCCTTGTCGAGCGCGCCGAGGTCGAGCCCACGAATGAGCCGACTCATCGCTGGAGGGGGGGCGAGCGAGCAGCACTAGAGCGGTCAGTTCAACACTGCGCTCGACAAAAGAATTCTGACGCCGCAAAAGGCGGACACACACGCAGCGTGCCGTTCTCCCATCCCTCCCTTGGGTTGTGTGTTTTCTTTCTTTCTTTTACACGCACGAGACAGAGGAGAGCGACGCGACAGAGGAAGAAGCGACAAGGGAGAGCACGACGAGAAGGGGGCGACCGCGAGGTGGCACGAAGGTCGCAGCGAGAATCGGAGAGAGACTGCGAAGAGAGATAGGAAGAGGCGGACGCCCAAGGGTGGGCGACGGCTAGTGCACCTCACCCCTCTCCTTAAATCCCTGTGTGGTGGCGGCGTGCCGTCCTCCCATCCCTCCCTTGGGTTGTCCGTTTTCTTTCTTTCTTTACACACGCACGATTCACACGACAGACAACGCGCAGCCCCCCGGGGGGGGAGACGACGGCTTCCTCCTCGCCACACACAAAAGCCGCCGTCCGAACTCCCCCCCGCTCCTCCGTGCTCCGGGACACCCGCCACCCCTCCCGCCTCCCCTCTGAGAGAGAGAGAGAAAAACAACGTTAGTTCCCCTCTGAGTCTCCTGTGTGGGCACAGGGGACAGTTCCTCTTCACCCCTCCGCCATGCAAGTTCCTGTGGGGTGTCCGTTTTCCTTCCTTTCTTCAGGACAACATTATGTTCAGAGAGACACAGCGGATCAAAAGTCGTCACCGCGGAGCGACCAACTCCCAATCGCCCGCAGGAGCGCCGATGGCCCGCCCAAGATGTAAGTGGCCGATCCCGCAGCCGTCGGGGGTAGGCCACGCGCCTCAGGCTGGTACGCCCCACTCAGCCACACGCCCCAGCCCGCCATGATCACCCTCCGCTCCAGATACTCCGTGATTGCCAGGATCGCCCTATACCCCTCGTCCTCGGCCCAAACATTCCACGTCGTCACGGCGGTCACGGAGCGGCACTTTGAGATGACCAGGTGGCCGCAGTGGTTGAGGACCACCTCGTAATCCGGTACGAGCTCCGGCGTCGTCCGGTTTGCCACATAGTCGTTGCTGCACAGGATGTACGGGTCGTCCGTCCCACACACCATCAGCGTAGGCACCAGCACCGTCCCTAGGTCCATGCTCTGCGGCATCCCATCCTCCGGCCCGGGCGTGCCGCCCAGCCGCTCGTACATCTCCTATCGGGCGTGTCGTGGGCGTGTCGTGGACGTGTCGTGGGCGTGTGCCGCCCAGCCGCTCTTGCATCTCCTTGACGCTGGTGATCATCGTCGCGGCCATCGAGTTGGCAGCGAAGAGGCCGAACGAGCCGTAGCCGATGAGGGGCGGCAGCGCCATGTACTTTGGGATGGTGCCGTGGTACCATTTCAGGCCATTGGAGGGCAGGATCCTGAACCTGTGTGGTGAATTCCAGAGGGGTGGAGCCGAGAGGAATATGCCTGGATCCCGACGGGCCGTCCATCGGGACGGTCGGTCCAAGGCGAGGCGTCATAAATCGAGAATACGGCGCGTCGTGGCTCAACCGTCATATTCACGTTAATGAATACAGGAATGTGAATGTGGCATCTAGAACGTTGAACAGGTAGTCTCCCGCGTCAGGCATGTGGAAGTAGTTGAAGTAGTTGACGCCTATTGGGAGGTTTCGAGAAGGTTCAGGGAAGGTTCTGACGGCGTTGGAAGGGGTTCAAGCAGTTGACGCCAAACTGCTGGGCCGCCACTGCGTTCTCCCCATACAGGGCGCTGCTGAAGACGTCCGGGTGCGGCACAGCCAGCGAGACAAACGTGCTGAGCCGGCTCGCCTGAGGTAGTGAGGCAAATGGTAGGTGAGCACTCTGCACGCATTGCGTGGGCAAGGACAGAGCTTTCGCCTCGGGCTGCGCCGCAGCAACCCAGCCCAGCACCGCGCCGTGGTCGTGCGCGACTACGCTGAATTTGGAGGAGGGCCCAAATGCAGCGTCGGCAAGCGCCCATACGTCCGTCACGAGCACGTCAAAGTCGTACGCCTCGAGGTCGTCTGGAGAGGCGCCTGGGCTATACCCGCGCAGATTGCAGGCGCATGTCCGCAGCTTGACTCCCGCGTCGATCCAATGATCGGTCAAGGGAAGCCAAAAGTCCGCGTCGTGCGGGAACCCGTGCAGGAGCAGCACCGGATCCGCCTCGGGCGGTCCGGAGGTGCGGCACTCGAAGCACAGACCATTGGCGCTGAGGCCTGTGCAGTCATAGCGCGAGCCGTCCCAGCAGTCGAGCGTGTGCTCTTCGCACTGCGGTGGAACCATGAAGAGTGTCGTCTCCCGGGCGATCAAGTCATCACCGTCGTCATCACTGTGGAAGGGGAAGCTGATTCCTCTCGAGGCATCTCCCATGCCGACCGCAGAGAGTGTCCCATCCCACAGTCCGCCCAAGAGGCGGGCCGACGACGGATTGAGACGCAAGGGCACCCAGCAGACGAGCGCAACGCTTAGCAGTATCAGGCCGGCGTGCGGGCGCCGTCGATGCGACGGGCCCGCGTTAGCGGTGAGCATGGTGAGGGCAAAACGGACGGACGCATGACGAAAAGCATCGAAAAGTAGTACGAATGGCAGCGTGCGACGAGCCAAAGACGCGATGCGTCAGGTGGTCGGCGGAGGTGCAGAGAAAGGCGCTGCAGGGCAGCTGCATCGAAAAGACGTGCTGCCTGCCGCTGCTCACAAACTTCGACCTCCTTCAGTACACGCTGCACCGAAAAGATTGGAACGCGCAGCGGCAGGCAATCTTTGGCGATACCTTTGTTGGACTTGGGAAGCTCAACTTCAACTCGTGCGCATGTAGCCGCTGTCTCCGCCCTCGTCAATAGTACCACGCTCCGATTCCTCACTCAGGTACGAGGACGTCTCTAGCATCATTGGCAACTCGCAGGAGCGTGCACCATTTGTTGGCCGTGCCCATTTTGACCCAGACAAGCTTCCTTCCACATTTCCGTTGTTCCTCGACAACGTCACTGGCGCGCCGGCAGACCTGGCAGCGCGGAGGAGCGCCAAAAAACTCTTCAACGAGGTGCTGCTGCTGGCTGCCACCCCCGGCTCTAGCACGGTCCACAGCGTAGCGATAGTTGCCACAACTGACTATGGACTGGTCGCACTCGCCCAGACGCTATCAACACCGAGCTGCCTTCAGCGCAGCGTCGACACGAAAGCGAGGGCAGCCGCCCACGCGCTTGGCGAGGCCATCCGCGCAGACGAGAGCGCAAATTCTCCTCCGCCGCCAGTGATGTTCAACGGCACTGTCGAGGTGCCATTCGGAGGGTCACATATCCGAGGCCACGTGATGTGGTGGATACACTACGTCATCCTTGGGATCGACCTGAAAGCAGACTCGGCGCTCCTAGAGGATGTGGGCCTCCTTATGCGAGAGGACAGGCTGCTCGATCCTCTCGGCCCGCTGGAGAAATGCGCACCCATGAAGGCGCCGGCCGGGCTCTTTGCTGCCGTTCGCATGGGCGCGCACCGCGCACGACGCGCACTCGTGAGATGCGTGCGTACCCCCGCCCCCCCGCCCGTCCGCCCTCCACAGCTGGCATGAATGGCCTGTGCGCCGGTCTTTGGTGCGGCTGGCGCGAGCGCGGGCCGCTTGAGCGGGTCCTCTCGGCTTACGAGGCGCGCGCGCGCCCCCCCCCCCCCCGCCACATAACTTCAGCACTCCCCACACCGCACTTACTTGACCGAGACGCCGGCGGAGTCGCCAGGCATCGCCGGCCTTTGCGGACTTGCCTTGGCTCGACTCCGAGTTCGGCTCGCGCAGAGCCGCCGCCGAGCTAATGCTCACCACTCTTACCTTTGCTGCGTTTCTCGGCTCGGTGAACTTGCTCGCGGCCACTCTCTCCCACCTGCCAGAGTCGGCCGCCGCCGCCGCCGCCTCCGAGCTCGGCGATGACGGGCCGCTTACTTGCTTTGTGCTCGAGAGCGTCCGCCTCGCCGCGCCTGTCAACCAGATCAACGTCTACTTGAGCGAGGCGAAGACGGTGGTAATTGGCAAGGGGGAGGAGGCGCGTGAGGTGGCCTTCCCTGCGGGGACGCGCTGCGCAGCAAACATCATGGGCGGCTGCTCAGACGCGGAGGTCTGGCCAGACCCAACGTCATTCGACCCGTGCCGTGCCAACCTCAAGGCGGCATCGCTCAACTTCAATGCCATCGGCTACAAGGATGCGGTCGCCGATCTGCCTCGATCGTCCTTCGACCCGCCTGGCGCGGGCGGCTGTCCGCACTTGAGTCGGGAGCAGGCGGAGCAGGCTGAGGCGCAATGGGATGCCTCGCGCGTGTGCCCTGGTCGGTTCCTGACTACGGGTATGGCTGCGGCGGTGGTGCGCGCGTATCACGCGCTGGAGCCGCCTGCTGTTGCATCCATACCTGTTCTGCAGCAGCACCATGCAAAACGGTACCTGGCCCTCGCCGCTCGCATGGACGTTGCCGCTACCGCCATAGCAAGGGGTGTCAACTCCTCGACGTACGTAAAATTGAGGAGAGGCGGTTAGTTGCGTTGCCAGCAAGCTTGCAGGATGCTCTCATGTTGCACATTGGCGCTTCGTCACAGTCATGAGAGTTTGAGCGGACGGAGAACTCGCGAAGAGAACTCGACACTACGGGTACGATTCCTGTTGCGTTCAGGTGTAGTTCTAGCTTCTACGGTTGTTTGGTCTCCACATCTCTCCATTGTTAACAAAAAACAACCTTATTGAAACGACTCAGAACCGAGAGCCCGCAGGACTGCCGCCTCGACTTCGGTCGCCGTGGGCGGGACGCTAGTCTCCCACGCCCGCGCTTCGAGCGCCTCAGTCACCGACCGTGCCACGGTCTTGAAATGCTGGCGGCCGAGGTCGCGGCGGTGCAATGCCGCCTTGACGAGGGCGAGGATGGCTGCTTTGCCAATCGCGCCAGCGGGCTCTGACCGCTTTCGCTTGAGCGCACGTCTGGCTGCCGCTGCTGTGTCGGCGCTGTCGGCAACCACGGCGGCGGCCGGCGCAATGCTGCATTCCGCGTCTCCGGTGCAAGCGGTGCAAGACGCCTCGGGCGAGGCCTCTTTCGGGGCCTCTTTCGACTTGTCGAGCCCGCTGCCGCTGCCGGCCTTCACCATCAGTGCCTCTCCCAACAGGGCGTGCAAAGCGGCAGCTGCGCGATCTCGCAGCGGCGCAGATTGCGCGTTCGCTGAGAGCAACAGCAACACCTTGCCAAGCCCCCGCGACTGCTGCAGATATGCCGGAGAGGACGCCGGCGCCACCGCCTCGCACACGGCCATCGCCGCAAGCTGCATCTTGCGATGCTGCTCGGGAGAGGAGCCGGCGGCGGGGCGAGCCGCCAGCCAGCGGCGCAGCATCGAGAGCACTCCGTTGCGGACGAGCGGCACAAGCATCTCCCTGGACGCGATTGCCGTCATGAGGGTGGGCAGCACTCTCGCCCGCGCCTCCGTCGGCATCGCCGCAGCGGTACGGTCGAGCGACACGGCATGGTGGCATCGCCGCACGAGTGCGAGCGCATCCTCCTCGCGGGCAACCGCTAGCGCCAGGGCCGCCGCCGCCGCTGCCGCCGCCGTCGCCACGGGTGGTGGTCTCGCTGCCGGCGCCAATGCGACGGGTGGCGCTGACCCGCCCAAGAAGTCGCCGTCGAGAAGCCGCTCGACGACAGACGAGCCCACGCTCCCGCCCCTCCCGCCACCCTGTCCCGCCGCGCCGCGCCGACCCGAACCGCCTCGCCCCGGCACGCGGCCCCTCCCCGCCCCTTCTGCCCTCCCCGCCCCTTCTGCCGGCCGGCTGGCGGTGCTCGAGCCGGGAGGAGCCATCACCGCTGCAGGCGCGGCTGCGACCGTGGGAGCGGCAATCGGCACAGCGCCCGCGGCTGTCCCAGCCGCGGGGGCTGGCGCCGGAGGGGCAGGCGCCGCTTCGCGCCTCGCCGCTCGCCATGCGGCTGCCGCTTGTGCGATCGAAGCGCCGGCCTTGGGGCGGCGCTTCTCCTCGCCGCTTTGCGCGGCGGGCGCAGCGGCGGGCGAGGCGGCCGGCGAGGCGGTAGCAGCAGGGGGCAGCCTGGCGCCGCCGCCGCGCACGGAGGGCACCGTGCGAGAGGCGGCAGGGCGAGAGGCTGCGGGGCGGCGCACGGCGTCTCCCTTCCAGCGGCGCGCGGGAATGGCGTCTGCGCGCTCCCAGCTCTCCCACGCGATCGCCTCGATGTCGGCGTCGGTGAGCGAGGGCGTGCCAGCGGCGCGCGAGGGGCGGCGCGCGAGCACCTGCGGCGGCGGCGGTGCTCCAAAGACGGCGTCCGGATCGGGCTGCTGCGAGACGCGGCTCGGCCCGGCGGCGCTCGCCTGGCCTGGAGACCTCCGCTTGGACGCTGCGCCAGAGGGGCGGGGGGCCGCAGGGCGGTGCCCGGCCGGCCGCCAGCGGACGCCGCGCGACTCGGCGAGGGAGTCGAGCAGCGCCGCCCACTGGCGAAGCGCCCGCAGCCGCCGGCGCGGCGAGGAGGCGGCTCTGTTCTCTCCGCCGCCGGCCGGCTGGTCCGATCGGGCTGGCGCACGCGGCTCGCCCAGAGGTCGCGCCAAGCCCGGCGGGGCACGCGGCAGCGGCGGGGATGCCAGCGCTGCCAGCGGCCCGCTGCCGCCGCCCCTCGCGGCTTGTTGCTGCCGCCGGCTCGGCCAGGCTCCAATCGAGAGGGGAGCGGTCGAGCCCGGCGCCGGCGCCGGCGAGGGCGACGCCGCCGCCGCCGTCCACGTGGGTCGAAGGTGGTCGAGCGGGCACGGCACAAGGCCGCCCGCGTCCGGGCCCGAGGGAAGCCCGCTCGCAGGCCCGCTCGCAGGAGGCGGGGCGGCAGCCTCACGTGCAGCGCGGGCGGCGGTGGCGGGGCGCGAGGCGGCACGGCTTCGGGACGCAGCGAGGGGTGGAGCAGGGCTGGCAGCGGCTTCTGCGGCCGCGATGCAGTCGGCGGAAGCGGCGGGGGGTGTCGGAGGGGCGGGAGGATTTGTGGTGGTGGTGGAGGGATGGTTTGTGGTGGCCGCCCCTCCGTCCGTGTGAGCCGAGGAAGAGGGGGAGGATCGGGTGGAGAGGCACGCTGCCAGCGAGGCGGCCAGGGAAGGCTGGCCGGCGGCCGTTGGAGCGGCCGCGGCAGGAGCGGTAGCGGTGGCAGGGGCGGCGGTGGCAGATACGGCGGTCGCAGAGGCGGCGGCGGGTGTGGAGGCGTCGGGTAGGGCGGGTGCGGTGGTTGTAGCGGCGGCGGCGGGAGGTGGAGAAACGGCGGCAGTGGCGGCGGCGGCGGCGGCGGAGGCGGAGGCGGCGGCGGAGGCGGAGGCGGAGGCGGAGGCGGAGGCGGCGGCGGCGGCGGAGGCGGAGGCGGAGGCGGAGGCGGAGGCGGAGGCGGAGGCGGAGGCGGAGGCGGAGGCGGAGGCGGAGGCGGAGGCGGAGGCGCTTGACGGAGACGCACCCTTCTCCGGAGAGGGAGCTGCTCCCTTGCAGAGCAGCCTCGCTAGGCGGGCGCGCATCGTCTCGCAAGGCTGGCAGACGAAGCGGGCGGCCAGCGCCTCCATGTTGGCTGCCGCGGCGCCGCCGTCGTCGTCGTCGTCACCGCCGCCGACCGAGCCGTTGGCGTCTGCAGCGGCTGCGGCGGCACTTGGGGCGCGCTCCTCTGCGCTGCTGGCCTCCTCGGCGTTCCCCGCGTCGCACCCGCCCGGAGCGTGGTACCACTTGCTGCAGAGCAGGCAGCGGAGCAGCTCACCGTCACCGCCGCCGCACGCGCCACACACCGGCACAGGAAGCAGGGGGAGCAGGGCGGGCCCGCCCTCGCCGCTCGCCGCCTCGCCGCCGCCTCCCTCCCCCTGCGCGCCACCTCCGTCGCCGTCAGCTCCCTCCGGCTGCTCCTGCGCCCGCACGCTCGGCGCCTCAGCCACCAACGAGCCGCTCGCATCGAGCTCCACCGCCACCGCCGCCGTGTGGTCGTACACGAGGTAGCTCTTGTCGGCAGCGCGCAGCGACTGCAGCAGACTGCGCGCCAGCCCGCCGCGGTCCGAGAGGCGCTGCCGCCGCCAAAAGGCCATCGCGATCGGGCCGATGTCGGACTGGGTCAGCAGCAGAGCGGGCGGGCCGGGCGCCCCCGTGGGCTGCAGCGCCCAGCCGTGCCCCTCGCCGCGCGGCTGCGGCGAGGCGGCCCGCTCGGCGAGCAGCCGCGCCACCCGCTTCAAGGCGTTGACGACCCTCGTGCCGTGGCCGTGGCCGCACACTCCGGGGCGCTGGCCAACCACGATCAGAAGCACCTCGAGCACGATGCGCCGGCCGGGCGCGAGGCCGCCGTTTGGACCAACAAGCTGCTGCTGCCGCCGCCCGCCCGCCTCTCCGCGCACCCAGTAGGCGCGGAACGTGGCGCCGCCGAGCAGAGCGCCGTCGGCGCGTCTGCAGAGCCCGAGCGTCGCATTGTGCTTGTGTCGGTAGATGAGGTTGTGCAGATGCGAGCGCTCCCGCAGCGCCGGCAGCAGCTCGTCGCAGAGGCACTTGTACTGCCGCAGCCAGCGGAGCTGCTTTGCCGCGCCACCGCCGCGAGCCGGGGCGCAGTGCACGAGCTCGACCGGCGATGAGGCCTCATGGTTGACCTGCCGACAGACCTGGTCGACCGCCGCTTCCAGCGGTGCGGCGGCGATACCGACCACTTTGGCCGTGGCCATCGCATACGGTTACCTGCTTCGGCGAGCGTCGTCGTCGCTAGATCCAAAGAGACGCGGCCGGTGCCAGCCCTTCTGTGCGGCCATTCTGGGGGAAATAAAGAATGTCGCCGGGCGCTGCTACAGCGGCGCGAGAAGCAGGCAGCGGCGAGTCTGGCCGTTCTCTCGACGCCGGCCGGCGAGGGTGGCGGCCTGTGGCCGGCTGGTGGGCGGAGAGCAGCCACAACCGGCGTGGGGGTGCTCAGGAGGCTGCGCGGCGACAAAGTGGTACCACTTTCGCCTCTGGGCCGGCGCGGGGCCCCCCGGAGGCACCGTGCGCCGCGCCGCAGTGCGGAAACGGGGCTCCGGCGCTCAGAGTCGCTCAGAGCACCAACTTCCCGAATGAGTACGGTTAAGTAGAGGGCAGATTTGGAGAGATCTCGAGGAGTACATACAGATAGACCCTCCAACCACCAGAAAACTCCGACCTGATCGGTCGTACTGACCGCCGACAGATCACTCCAGACAGCAGACAGGCCGACGTCTGCACGCGGCCGGCCGGGCGAGAGGCTTGACACGATCCGACCCTGCGACCCTGACGCTGCTGCTCTAGCTATCAGCCATGCACTGCTGACTGCTGCCACAATGTGCGACCTGTGCTGGCCCACTTGGCGGCCTTCCCGGTCAGTGGTGAGGCGCAGTTCAGAGCTGTCGATGGCGCGATGCCGCACTGGTCCCACATTGGTAACACGAGACCACCACGTTTGCCGGTCCAAGAGAGAGGCACCGGCGCTGTCCTGAGAAGGTGCGTGGTCCTTCTTGACTGCCCATGCGCGCGAGGCTGTGTAGGCATAGCCTCGAGAGTGCCAGCAGCCAATCCGAGGTGACGCGCATTGCGCCAGAAGCGTGCACGCAGCTGGAAGGACACCTTCCTACTGGCCGTACGATCAGGTCGTCACTGAATGCTTGATACTAAGGCCGCGAGCTATGCAGGTGATCAATTGTGCATCATGGCACGGTCAGCTGCGCCGACAGGCTGTCGCAAGGCGTGATAGCATGGCCGCAAGTACGCCGAATTCCCATGAAAACAAGTAAAAAATCGCAAAAAAGAAAAAACTCAAAAAAAATCGGCGCCTGCGGCGGGCCATGGGACCCCATCTCCCCCCCGCATGGACACCCTCTGGGGCCCCCGCGCCGGCCCAGAGACTTTCGCTGACTCGAAAGGGGGCTTGTGAACTGGGCCTTACGTGAATTCGCGCGTTGTAACATGTAAGTCGTCCAGCGAGCAGCGTCCTTATCACACACACTCAGACCAATAACTTCACAGAGACCTCACACGTAAAGGGGAAGACATGCGCGCGGGGGGCGGGGCGGGGGTGACTCTGGGTGCGAGGAGCCTGCCCCCCTTCTAGAGGTTGCGCGCCTGGCGGAGCGCGCGCGCTTCCACACCCCTCCACGGCGAGCCGCCGTGCTGCACGGAGGGGGGGAGGGGGAGGGGGGGGGGGGCATTTGCGCGCACGGGCGCGAGCCCTCAATAAGTCGGCGTCAGTCGTCGATCGTCATCGTCATCACGCGCGAGCGGGGCCGCCCGGCCGCGGGCGTGACCCCGTCGGACAAACGGCCGCTCGAGCCGCCCTGCGAGGCGAGCGAGGCGCGCTCCGCCGCCTCGGTGACGCGGTCGCGCTCGGTCCGCTCCGAGTCGGTCGACTCGTGCCGCGCGTCGCCGCCCAGCCGCAGCGACTGCAGCCGCATCCGCAGCCGCGACCAGCGCGTGCGCTTGGCGTGGAGCGAGAGGAGCGACTTGCCCATCTTCATCTGCCGGCGGCGGAGGGCGGCGGGGGTGGGGGTGGCGGGGAGGGCGGCGGGGGGCAGGAAGGGTGGCGGCGGTGGGGTGGCGGGCGGGGTGGCGGCGGGGGGCGCTGGAGCGATGGGAGTGCGTTTGGGCCTGGAGCGACTCGCCAAAGGCGAGCTTGAGGGGAGCGCGCAGCCGGATGAAGGTGCCGTTGGAGGACTCGCGGTCGTGCAGCCAGAACTGGCCGTTCTGGTGGATGATGAAGGCGTGCTCGCCTGCTCACAGGCCGCTCGAGGTGAGGGCGGGCTGCTCACCCCGCCGTCGCGTGACGGGGCGGGTCTGCGCGCGCCAGAGACCGAGTGGTCCGGGATCGAGACGTCGTTGTGCTCCGAGAAGCGGCCGAGCGAGGCGGTGGAGTGGCGGTTGAAGGAGATCCAGTGGCGCAGCTTGAGCGTGCGGTGGTTGGACCACGACTCGAGCATGATCGCCGGCGAGTGGATCATCATCGCCTGCGCCGACTCTGGGTACTTTGCCTTGCAAATCGGGCAGTGCGTGTTGACAGCGCTCGACCCCTCGGGCTGCATCCAGCGCTGCAGGCACTGCAGGTGCACGTACTTTACGGTGCCGGTGCACTGGCACAGGTTGAGCAGCGGGTTGCCGTGGCACCCCGACTCGTAACAGATGTAGCACTGCGGCCGCTGCAGGTCGCCGTCGCCCTCCTCCTCCTCCACGTCCGTGTCGCGCTCGTCCTCGTCGATGACGCACTCGGGCAGCGCGGCGTCCTGCACCAGCTGCATCTGCGTCGCGGCGTCGTCCTCCAGCCGGATCTTCGACACGAGCACGTACGCCTGCCCCAGCCGGAAGATATCTCCCTCCTGCAGCCGCCACGGGATCAGCCGCGCGCCGCGCATCCCGACTTTGAGAAAGACGTCGCCGCGCGAGCACGGGAAGCCGGGCGTGCTGCTCGCCACCCGGTTCTCGTCCATCACCGGGCTGAACCAGAAGACGTTGTCCTCGCGGTCGAAGCGGATAAACGCTCGCCGGCCGGAGAGCTGGAGGCAGGGGGAGCGCAGGGGCTCTCGGAAGGGGGCGCCGCGTGCGCCGCGCGCGGGTGGGGCGCGATGAGGTGTGCGCCGGCGCGCGCGCCTTCCAGTCGCGCAGCAGGATCGAGGTGGCGCCGCCCGACGCCTCCCTCGCCTCCTCCGCCTCTGGCCCCTCGCTGTTTCGCGCGAGCGCGTTCAGCGTCGCGCCAGACTCATCCACTGTGTAATCCTGCTGCAAAATCCGGCTGGAGCTGTTGCGCTGCGACTGGTACGTCTGCACCGACACGTTGACCCACCCCCGCGACTTGGAGCTCGATCCCATCCAGCAGCGGCCCAGCGGCCCAACAGCGTCCTGCGAGAAAGACAGCGCCCACTCTGGCTCAAGGCATTCTTTCCTCTCCCTCGTATCCTTCAGGTATACTGTACCACCGCTTGTCGCCCGTGCTAGGTCGGGGGGCGAAGCGCTCCCAGACCGACTGGAAGGCGCGGGACAGGTCGGCCGCGAGGTCCGGCCACTCGACGTGTGAAAAGAGCTGTGTAACCATCACATCGGCGGTCGGCAGGTGCATGCCTGCCGACTCTGCTCGCCCACCTGGTGGTGGCGGCGGCGCCGCCGCTGACGACGGTACTGCGACCGGCGGCAACAGCGGCGCTGCCAGCGTCGTCAACAGCGTCGGCGCAGGCGGCCGGCAGCGACTGCCGGCGAACGAGCAGACGGTGCTGCACGCTTACGCTTCACTGCATGAAGCCAACACTGTCGCTCTCGACGCAGAGCACCTCGGTGGTGGTGTCGATGCGGTGGTGGAGGTGGTGGAGGAGGCGGAGGGCGCTGCGGCGGCGCTCCGTGAGGACGCGCAGCGGGCTCTCGCCAGTGCCGCAGACGCAGCGGCTTCAGGTGGCGGCTGCTACGGCAAAAGCCATGCTGAGGCTTGGGCGGAGAGTGCGGCGCTGGAGCAGTGGGCAGACGAGCTCGAAGAGCTCGCCGAGCTCGCGGCAGCGGCGGAAGACGCGGATGGATCAGATCAAGACGAACCGAAGAGCGCCAGGACATCTACAGCGAGCTGTGAGCTACCACTTTCTTCCCGCTACGCTCGTGTTATTGGAGATGTTCAAGATGCAGTTTATCGGGCCGACGATCGGCAGCGAGGAGATATTCCTCGCCTCGCTGCTCATCGTGGGCATTCGTTCAAGATGCTGAGCGACCGCGCGACGGCGACGGCGGCTGCTGCTGCTGCTGCCGCTGCTTCTGCCGCTGTTGTTGTCTCTGTTGCGGTTGCTGCCATAGCTGCTGCGGCCGCACCACCCGGCGAGGCCATCCTCGCGCGCACGGACGCTACAGGCGCGGGCGCGGGGGTGGAGGGTGCGTATGAGGCGGAGATGATGGAGGCGCTCGCCGCGTGCGGCGATTGAGCGCCTCCCTCTCTCTCCGGCTGCGCGCCTGACCGGTGCGGCCTCCGAGTCGGCGTCTAGCGCGCGCGATAAGGTTTTTGCTCGCCTTCCCTGGGACCCCGTGTTGCGTGACTCTGTGCGATTTCGGGTCCGGGGTTGTGCGTTTACGTGAAAAGGGCGTGCTGCCCATCTCGGTGAGTAGCTGCCGGTCCCCGGCGAGGTTCGCCCCTGACGCGACGTACTCGAACCAGACGCTGATATCGAGCGCCAGGCACAGCGCGTGGAAGATGTGGATCAGACGGGCGCAGTCTGCATCCTTGCAGTCGCCCTTACCGAGGCCGAAGAGTGCGCCCGTGTTATCCACGAAGCAGATCACGTCCCTGCCGCGGAGCTGGTTGGGGCGAGACAAAGCCGCGACGAGCGGCGCCAGCGCCTCCAGCTGCGTGATGTACTGCTCTCGCTCAGTCCAGCTGGCGATGATGTGGGCCGGGACCTCCGCTGAGAGGTCACGCCACGGTGACTCCTCGTCTAGCGGGTCATACAGGGCGACGCCGATGCGGGCCGGAGGCGTCGCCTTGGCCTCGTACATAGCGTCCGTGTAGAGGATTATGGGCGGGCCAGAGTGACGGTCGCCGCAGCAGTGAACCCTGCGCTGCGGGAGGCGCGGCAGGAGAAAGGCGAGGAAAAGAAGGGCCTCTAGGACCAGCTCGGCGATCGAGCCGGTATCGTCCCTCGCTCGGGATCTCGACTCGACCCATCGACGCAGGATACCTATCGCTGCTCTGCCGACGCGGCCAGTCGACCCAGAGGAACGCACAAATTCGAGCTTTCCGAAGAAGGTCTTGGCCTCTGACCCAGGGATACCCTCAGCCATGAAACGGTCAATGGAGAGGAGGAGCTTTGCAATCCTCTCTGGCTTCGATCGCATCGTGACGAAGCCTCGAGAAAAGTCTGAGAGGTCGGTAATCACACCCAGGAAAGGGTTGATCTCCCGTGGGGGCACGTCCTTGAGGCCCTCAGCCAATGGGATGCCCAACCACACATGAATCTGCCTCAGCACGCATTTGGCCGAGGCCGCCGCCCACGATGGGCCGCATATGTCGTAGTCATCGAAGTATGCGCAGCACGGAATGCCAAAGAAGCGGCGCGCAATGGCCGCGACAAGTTGAGAATGACGGTTCCACGAGAGGACCGCATCTGCGAGGCCAAAATTGTGGCCGGGCATAGTGTAGAAGCGCACATCATGCACTTCCGTATCATACACTGCGACTGCCTTCGAAGGCGCTGTGCGAGAAAACAAATTCGTCGAACATCTTGAGCACTTGAGCACTGGATAGGGTCGATTCCGCATGGTACGGGACCCCTCGATCGTCTCGCCCTCCCTCTCTGGTGTGTTCATTGGGGGGGGTCATAACAAACATCTTTCTTATCACTTTGCTTCTCCACATGACCCAAGCATCTGCACCGTGAGGTGTGATACATTGGGGCGTAAAGGGTCAGTCTGGAGAGCGCCGCGCATGAGGAGCGAGGGCCAAGCGCGCTCGCGAAAGTAGGCGGCGAAAGCGCGCACCAGCTGAAGTGCAAGTTTGGTGTTCACAGCAGCGGAGGCTGAGTGAAGACCGCATGCGATGTGCGCGAGGGCACACGAGAGGGACTCAGGAGAGGTATCCGTGAGTACCCTACGATAAACTAGTGGCCTACCACGAGTTGGGGCCCCCACCCCAATCGTTATCGGCGGATTATAATTACATCCTTTCGGCGCTGCTGACCGTGCCATGCTGCTCAACTGACCGCCTGCATAGCTCGCGGCCTTAGTCTTCAGCATTCAGTGACGACCTGATCGTACGGCCAGTAGGAAGGTGTCCTTCCAGCTGCGTGCACGCTTCTGACGCAATGCGCGTCACAAACTGCCTCGGATTGGCTGCTGGCACTCTCGAGGCTATGCCTACACAGCCTCGCGCGCATGGGCAGTCAAGAAGGACCATGCACCTTCTCAGGACAGCGCCGGTGCCTCTCTCTTGGACCGGCAAACTTGGTGGTCTAGTGTCACCAATGTGGGACCAGTGCGCCATCGCGCCATCGACAGCTCTGAACTGCGCCTCACCACTGACCGGGAAGGCCGCCAAGTGGGTCAGCACCGGTCGCACATTGTGGCAGCAGTCAGCAGCGCATGTCTGATAGCTAGAGCAGCAGCATCAGGGTCGCAGGGTCGGATCGTGTCAAGCCTCTCGCCCGGCCGGCCGCGCGCAGACCGGTCGGCCTGTCTGCTGTCTGGAGTGATCTGTCGGCGGTCAGTACGACATTCGTGCACAAAGCAGACACCAGACCTCGGTTTCCCATAGGGTTTCTGCTGCGGTTTTCCATGGCGGTTTCCCATAGCCGAAAACCCAGGGGTCGGTCGGTTTCTGCGGCGCGCTCTGTTTTTTCTGGGATCTGTTTTCTGGGACACCCGCCTCGATTTCCCGTGGGATCTGCCGTGGGTCTGGTTTCTGCGGTGTGAATATATCTCCCGCTTCGTCCTAATGAGCTCATTCCGGCCAATGAACAGGTGAACCCCCATCCGATTTTTTTCAAGTGGGAACAGCAAAAAAGCGGCATGTGCATTCTGGTTTCTGGTTTCTGGTTTCTGCTCCGATTGGTCGCGACTGGTGATGAGTGTTAAGCTGAGGTTGTCAACGTCGGGTGCGGGTAATTCTCGGCACGGATCGGCACGTGTGGTAGCGTGCGATGAGGCCTTGCCAGCTCCTGGTGGTGCCCTCAAGATCGCCGCGCGCATTGGCCGCTCCGCCGACGTTGTGATAGAGCTTCTTTCTGTCTCCAACAGAGTAGATCCAAACACTGTATTGATAGGTGATAGGTACTCAAAACACTCGCACAACGCCTGCCTGCCTTTCACAGCTCAGCCTTTCAGGGCTTGGGCATGACAAGCAACGGCCCCGCCGGTCGGCGTCCGATGCACGAGGCAGCCATGTTGGCTGCCACGGCGTTTCCGCTCGGGATCGCGGCAGCCTGGCGGACTCGACCGCATCGCAGGCCTCCCTCCCGTGAGCCACAAAAGTGCGTGGCAGCGCGGCGCGCCGCCAACCTCGCTTTCGGAGCAGAAACCAGAAACCAGAAACCATAATGCCTGGAGCGATAAAACGGTTCCCCCCAAGGGTTCCTCCCACCCAGAACATGCTGCTGTCTTAGTACTCCCGTTCGACCCATTCGGAATCCGATTAGTTAATGAAGGGTCATTCCGCCGGAATGACCCCTCCACGGGGAGATCGTTCACACCTCGAAAAACCAGAACCCAGAGTGTCTGGACCGATATTCCCATGGCCCGGATGTTTTCTGTGGGATGTGTCGAAAAAGCAGAATACAGAGCTCCTCCTCCTATAAATCAGACGGTTTCTTGATAGCTGATATGCCAGGGAAGAGCCTGGTATCTCAGTATGTTATATCCTATGATATAACATAGTGGTGTCTGGTTTATGCACACCTCCAGTACGAACGATCAGGTCGGAGTTTTCTTATGGTTGGAGGGTCTATCTGTATGTACTCCTCGAGATCTCTCCAAATCTGCCCCCTGTGTTAGACCGGGTTAGATCGGGAAGTCGGTGCTAGTGTTGATGTAGGCGGCGTCGCCCGCCACTTCATTCAGAGGGGAAGCTGCTAGGGAAGCTGCAGCCCCAGCCAGCCAGCCAGCCGCCCCAGCTGCCAGGCTTGCTCTCTGCTGGCAGTGTATGTCCATCCACTGCGCCGCATGAAGTGTGGGTATGCGTACGAACCATTCATTTCTCTCATTAGGAGAGAAAGATTTCATCCCGAGTTTTCTTCCTGAGAGAGAGCTCTTCTCTCTTCCTGCGTGAGTGCTGCCATGCGCCGAGATTTTTCAAAACCCACAAAGATCACCACCTCGCTTGCGCCAGTCCCGTGCCCAGAGGGGAAGTGTGCCCTGCCAAACGAGGGATGCGGAGGAGAGGAGGACCCCCCCCCCAATGGAAACAAATGATTTAACTGAGTTTTCTCTTCGTGCGAGGGAGTTTTGTCGTAAAATTCTCTTCTTCATCGGCTTTGCGAATCTATTGGAGAACCAAAATGCTCTCACTCCTCGCCGCGACGACCGCTGGCTTTTCGGCTCCCACCGGCTCCCGCGCCGCGCAGTCGTCCCGCACCGTCAACGACTTCCGCTTCGGCACGGGTACTGTTGTGCCCACGGCACTCGGCGGCGCCGATCCGATGGCGTCGAAAACGCGGGATGCGGCCGCATCGGTGGAGCCGCCCGACTCTTGGCGCTTTGGAGTTGGCTCGGTGGCGCCGAAGCCGCTCGGCGGCACTGGCGGCCCGGGCACCGGTCGTGTCGAGGCGAAGGAGGATTTCAGGTTCGGAACCGGTCGCAACGATGGACGCCAAAACTCGATCGACTTCCGCGGGGGAGCCTGAGTCATTCCAATTCGCATGGCGCCCCTGTCCGAGCGGCCAGCAAAAGGGCAGCGATCGGAAAAATCGGCGGCGGCTTCTCGCCCACCGCTGTTTGTTCTCAAGCTGCGCCGCCTCGCGCAAGGTCGCGCGCGGCAGCGTCGACCGCACGGCCTACTCGCCCAAATACTCGCTCTCTTTTATGTCCCACCATGCACAGCGCATCTCTCTCTCTGTTGTGCGAGGCGTGAACCGCGCCATTCGCTCTCACCTGGCAACCCTGTCTGCACGTCTCTCGCGCGCGTGAACATGACCTCCGCATTATTCGGCACTTCAGACCACCAACAGGCGCATCTGCCGAGGAGCAATAACTGACAAAGAATAAACTCGGGGGCACGGGACGCGGCACAAACAACGGGGCACAAACGCCAGGCTGAGGGGAATCTCAGTGAGACGGGGATTCACAGACCAGGATCTCTGTCGGACTGTCGATGGGAGCTAGAGGATCCAAAGTTGCCTCTTCGGCGCAGAGCATGGTGCCATGCCACCCGCGGCACTGACCACGGCGCGCCAGCGTTCACCACCTCACCTCACCTCGCCTCGCAGGAAGTGACCACCGTGCCGACGAGCCCCATTGCCGGGCAGAAGCCCGGCACGTCCGGCCTGCGGCAGAAGACAAAGACGTTCATGTCGGAGCACTACCTGGAGAATTTTGTGCAGTCTACGCTCGACGCTCTGGTGGCCGAGGGCGTCCCGGTCAAGGGCGGCACGCTGGTCATCTCCGGCGACGGCCGCTACCACAACAAGACCGCCATCCAGATCATCATCAAGATGGCGGCCGCTGCAGGCGTGGGCCGAGTCTGGTGCGGCGATCACGGCCTGCTCTCGACGCCGGCCATGTCGGCTGTGATCCGCACGCGCTCGCGCGGCCTCGCTGGCATGGCGCCGTTCGGCGGCTTCATCCTCTCCGCGTCGCACAACCCGGGCGGCATCGACGAGGACTTTGGCATCAAGTACAACTGCGAGAATGGTCCGAGACACTTCCGAGACGCTGCCAGAGACTCTGAGGACGCTTGCGAGACGCTCCCAGTCCCCCTCCTCGCGCCCGCCACGCGCCGCTGTCTTCCACACCCTCTGCCACCACCACTCATCGCCTCCACCCCCTCCCTGCGCTCGCCTGCAAACCTCTGCCCCGCGTGCGACCTCTCCGCCTGCAGCGTTGCACCTCTCCGCCTCACCGCCTCAGCGCTGCCTGCGACGTCCGCGCCCATGCCCGCGCCCACGGCGGCGTGTCCGTTACACGTCCCGGACGTACGACGCAGGCGGCCCGGCGCCGGAGAAGGTGACGAACCTCATCTACACCAACACGACCACCATCAAGGAGTACAAGCTCTGCTGCGGTGCTCTGCCACACACAGCACGGACCTCTCTGCCCGTCTCCGGGAGTAGCGTCTCCCCACGCCGTGTGGCCGGTGAGTAGGCCTGCCCGAAATTGACCTGTCCGCGCCGGGCTCGTACACGCTCGGCGGCGGCGCCTTCCGCGTCGACGTCTTCGACTGCGTCGAGGACCACATGGGCCTGCTCCAGCAGGTGTTCGACTTTGGGGCCATCAAGGCGCTCTTTGCGCGCGAGGACTTCAGCTTCGTGTACGACGGGATGCACGGCGCGCGCAGGGGGCGCGGTGCCTCCTCTCCCCGGGGAGGACACGCCCGCGACACGTCCACGTCGCCGCCCGCAGGCGTGCAGGGCCCGTACGCCAAGAAGATCTTCGTCGACGAGTTTGGCGCGCCCGCTTCGTCGCTGATGAACTGCGAGCCCTAGTCTGCGAGCACGAGGAGGGGGGAGGGGCGGGGCCCGTGCAGGAGACGGCCATGACACGTCCGCGACCCGCCTGAAGGCGAGCCAAAGGAGGACTTCGGCGGGCCCGCCTCGGCGTCGCACGGCCACGCGGACCCCAACCTGACGCACGCGGTCGAGCTGGTCGCCAGGATGGGACTCAACAAGGAGGGGCGCGAGATCGAGACGACGAGCGAGCCGCCCGTCTTCGGCGCGGCGGCCGACGGCGACGCCGACCGCAACATGATCATGGGGTCGCGCTTCTTCTGCTCGCCGAGCGATTCGCTCGCCGTCATCGTCGCGAACGCGCGCCTGCCCCGCCCCGCTCTTGCGACCGAGGCCGGCCGCTGCTCCGGTGAGGCCGGAGGCCTCTCTCCTGCAGGCGAGCTGCATCCCGTACTTCGCGGCCGGGCTCAAGGGCTGCGCGCGCTCGATGCCAACCTCGTGCGCCCTCGACCGGGTCGCCGAGCAGCTGGGCATCCCTTACTTCGAGGCGCCCCTCCTCCTCCCCCCTCCTCTCGACTGCCACCCCTCGCTCTCCCCACGGCCGCCTCTCTCCTCCCTGCCGCGCGTCTCCCCTCTCTCAACCCCGCCGCCTCTCTCCTCTCTCAGCCCCGCCGCCTCTCTCCTCCGCCTCGGCACTCCCCCCCTCCCCCACACTGCCGTCTAAACCCCCCCCCCGTGTCTCTTTCTTTT